GCCCCCGGGGGGGGGGACGGGAGGGCGGGGCCCCGTCCCGCCAGCACCGGCGGGCGGCAAGGAGACGCTTTGTCTCCGCCTGAACAAATCGGGCACGTTCCCCCTCCCCGGCTCCCCCGATTCGTGCCGGGCTGGTAGTTCTCCATGGTCTGCGTTGGTTCGGCAGGAGGCCGACGCAGCCTCTCTGCGAGGCTAAGGGGCTCCTCACAGTTTTCCTAATCTACAGGGGAAACACACTTGAGACCTGGCATTTGGTGGTGTTTGACTTGGACTGGGGCCCGTTGCCGCCTGAAAGCGAAGGGGAGCTGCAGTGTTATAACAAGCATTATGCCGACAATGAGAACAGGCCATCCAAGCTTGTACAGGGCTTTAAACCCTTAACTGCGCTGTGCTAATGGAGATCAGAGCTGGATAACAAAACACTGGGGACTGGCTAACGCCAAGGGGAGCCAGGTGCTCGCTTCCAGGGAACAACTCGCAGGGGCTGAACTTGCCTATTGTATTTTTCTCAGACTATTGATGTTGAATCACTTCAGCTGTTGACAGGAGGCCCTGGGAGCGCTCAGTGCCCAGGGTAGTGCAACAGGAGGGCAAGGCAGAAAGGCTGCGCTGAGCAAAGCCGCAGGGCGCCCCTATGGGAGAGGCGTGAGGCCCACCAGCAGATTTCAACACAGGCAGGGTGTGTTGCGCAGGGTGCTCTCTCACACTGCAGGCTCCTCGGGAGTGTTTACACGGTTTATACAAGAAAGGAAGGCTGCAATTCCTTCTATAGAGCCAGCAGTTTCCATTCCTTGCTTCGGTACTCACAGTACCACGCGGCTGACAGCAGCTGTGGAGCAGCACTCACACCAAGCTCAAACAGTCAGCGCCCAGGAAGCGGGTACAGATGCATCCCGAGACGCTTTTTTTTTTCTCCACTACGAATAGCATTTTCTTAGCTCAGACCTGCAGAAGACTGCCTTAGGCTGACGTTAGCGAGTCTCTGCTAATGTACATGCAGGGGTGTTCAGGGGGTAGAAAAAGACCAGTACTCAAACAAGCAAACACTGACTGTCTGGTTTCCCAGCGCTCAAGATCAGCCCCTGTACACCACTCCCTTCATCCACAATCCCTCCGTGCACTGAATATTGGGCAGGTTTCCTTCAGGCAGCTCAGTTAACCGCTTTCACACAAGCCAGCAGACAGACATTCTTTGTGCTGCTCTCCCATCACCCTGCCAGCCCAAGGCAGTGAAGCAAACCCACGCTGCTCAACTGCTCCTCCCACAGCAGCACAGGCTTCACAAAAAAAAAAAAAGAAAGAAAGAAAGAAAGAAAGAAAGAAAGAAACCAAAGAGCTAACGCTGGGATTTCTTTTAATGTAATTGCTTTTAAAATGCAGCCTTAAAATGACTTATAATGATCAATGATGAGAAACAATTGATCTTTTCGCACGTTTGCAACATGACCACGCAGCACCTATCTCGCCAACACATTAGCCGCAGCTGTTGATGTAATTCTCTGACTGCTTGTAAAGAGACTCACTGCCCCTTTACAGGACATACAAATCACATAGGGGCATCCACGCGCACAACCTAAAGGGATTCATTTGGGAAAAAAAAGAACTAGCTGAGCCACCCAGAGTCCAGATGATTCAATGTGCAATAACCTGCCTCCCCTGACAACCCTAAATTACTAGCAGGTGAACTAATGAGAATGGTCACAGCTCAGAGGTTCATTTCAAGCCTTCCACAACCTAGTTAAAACCCCCCCTGGCGAAACGGGCTTAGCCTGTAGAGTTCAGTCCATCACCTCAGCCTAACCCCTTCCAAGGGAGAGGGACAGTGTTTGTCCCAAATGCAGACTCAAGCTGGCCTAAAGCAGGGTGAATTATTTGGGACGTTTCAAGTACAACAAAGAAGGAACTTACAGGACTGGATATTTTACTTTAGAGAAACACAAGAGGTCTGTAGCCTGACTCCCACCAATACATATGGCATAAATGGCAGCTTTTTCTCTTACACCTTACACTCAGGCATAAACCTACAAAGGTGTTCAAGCCACTAGCTCCTGTGGAAGCCAATGGGAGCTAGGGACTTCAGGCTCCTACTTATCCCTGTGGATTTGTGCCTTCATGCTATGTAAAGTGATTAGAGAATTAAATGTCTGACTGCATTTTCTGGCTGAATAGGGTGGCAGAAGAAGAGGATTTTGCAATTTCTTGGTTTCTGACACATAGCATTACTTTGTGTACTTACTCTACACAACAGCAGGTATTAGACTGCTGTATCTTGCCAATTCAAATAACATGGAAAACTGCGGTTTAGCCTAAACACACACGTGAGACTGTACCCTGGAATCCCCTTCACACTGTGAAGGGAGATTTAAGAGGAGAATAGACTCTATTTGCTGAAATGCATTTAACGCTTCCCAGTTGTTATTCTGAGTTCCATCTTTTAGTTCTGTCATCCCACCAAACAGGCCCAAAGCGGCACACACTGCAGAACACCAAAGGCATTCCCGCCACTAGTTCCGTTTCTCCATTTAAAATATTCAGTGCTTTTCCCATACAGCTTACTAGCCCTCCCCTTCCAGACGGTGAATGAAGAGACCAACACACAAACAACATCCCGTTAGAGAACGGTGTTGCTGAGTCTGCTTTCACAAACGCTGCTGGGGGGAAGAGAGAGGGGCAGAAAGGCCCAGGCAGCGCAGACCTCCTGAGTCTGCCAGCGCTATGCGATGCCATTGCCCTCTGAGAGAAGGAACCTCCCTGACAGGACGCCAAGCACTAAAACAGCTCACCCAAATCACCCCTTAGGATCAAGTTTGCGTTTTACTAGTAACTTCAGAATCAATTACAGGAAGCCAGTTTGGTCTACAGATATACTATGCGCTTACGTCAGAGTGCATTTTAGCAACCTCTTTTTAAGAACAGCATTTAACAGACTCAGTGGGCACCCATTTCTTGATCTCCAATTCTGGTTATAAAACTTGGATTTCAGATTTGAGCAGACTGAAGCTCTTTTAGAGTTTGAGCAGTAGTTCTCACACTACCAAATATCACAATTAGAAACGGCGTAGAAAGAGTCCCCAGAGGGATATGAAAAAGACATCACCTTATGAAAAAGCTTCAGAATGAACCTGTGAAATAAACAGCAACCAGACAATTGTCTTCTAAGGAAGATGGAAGTAACGGTAGAAGAATATAACATCTTAAACAGTCAGTGAGTCAGTCTGAATGTACAGGGGCACTATATCCCTACAGATCTGTGATAAAAGCACACTATATCCCTACAGATCTGTGGTGAAAGCTAACAGCCACAGCCAGCTGGTCCCCTCAAGTCCCAAAGGGAGACTGGGCTGCAATTCACTCTTCACCAGCTGGGAGATTGTCTTCAATCCGCCTGATGAACTTCATTCTTATTTCTGTGACGCTGTCCCCTTTCAATGTGTCCTGCACAAATTTTACATCCACAGCCATCTGAACCTAGGTGATGGAAGAGGAAAGAGCTGTTACCTCCATTATAATAGCAGCTTCCCTAGAAACCATCTGCTCATGAAGCACCAGCTTCAGGACTCAGAGGATATGACATGCGATGCAGAGCTCTAGGGAAGCCCTAATTAGTTTTCAAGATCACATCTTCCCTGTACATTGTGGCCTTCGGTTTTTACGGCACAGTGGGCATCCTGCCTAGACATCACACCTCCTGTGGCGTAACTGAGACTCCCTTCAAAGATCCCAATTAACCCTATCACTCAGGGCTACATGTCCTGCTGCTCTGTGCATATTCCTCAAAAACTTCAGCGAAGCAAGACGGTCAGGGCTATATACTGACTCCTAAATTCAAGACGCAGCTTTCCTCTTGCTCCAGGAAATTCCCAGCTAGGATTCACAGGAGTTACAAAGTGAGGTTTTTGAAACTTCACAAAAATCCAAGGAGATACCAGTGCTTGCACTTGGAGCCGTAAGATGATGGGGCTTCGTCAGAACCTCTGGGAGTCACGGCTGCCATATGCAACAGCAACCAAGGACACCTCCATCTCTGCTCTTTCCTTGCTATGAATGTCAAGTCCAAAACAAACACAGCAGTCACATAGAACAGGCATTAAAGTATCTGCTGATATCTTGATTATTCATAAATGTATCTTCACTTCACAGTCAAGGTTTCTATGACCTCCCCGTCTCACCAGAAGAGAGACATCGGCTTACCATTTCCAGGGCACCTCGCAGCACTCCACACAACAAGTTGGAATAGATGAGAGATGAGTGGTTGTCAGGGAGCTCGACAAAGTCCACCAAGGGGTTATTTTCCAAAATCAGGGAGAACTCATCACCTCCAGGACTCCAGTTGGTGATGCTTGGAGTGATGCCCAAGTACATTTTAAATGCTATCTGTTATGTTAAACAGAGTATGAACAAGAACATGACCCACGAAGTCACGGTACTAATTTGATCTTTGTCAAAAAAATTGCTACAGGATTTTGAAAACACCACTC